CCGCCGAGAGTACGACTGGTCAGCTACAGGCCAGTGACCGGGTCGGCAGTCAGGACAACAACAATGGACCCGATGCCAAGCGGCAGAAGCTGGTGCAAGAAGTCACCGCTCTCGCCGGTGCACGTTAAACGCCATCATATCGGAGCTCGGGGATTGGTCTACCATCTCTCTCAAAAACAGGAAAGTTGCGCGCACAAAATGGCAGCGAATAACAATAGAACTAGGGACTGCAAAAGGAAAATGTGGAAAGATGGGCAAAAGAGGGAGAGACGAGAACCTATAGACGTCACTTGGAGGAGGTCGGACCCCGAGGACGTCGCAGTGAACGAGCCAATGTTCCTAACCGGCGATTAACGGGCAAGCACGGAGTGTCCATCTCGGTGATGCACCCCGTCGGGGGCATTTGCCCCGTGGCGGTAGGAGAGGGGGCAGGAAAGGGAGGCACATTACTCAGGCGCGGATGGCGGACGGTCATTGATGTTCTCTCTCTTAATTTCGTCGTAATTTATGCACCGCCAGCACATAACCACCCTCCAACCGCTTCCCTGCCCCCTGGCCCCCGCCCCCCGCGGTTCGCCTATTATTTTTGTAATGCGAATCCTGCGCAGCGCGCGCCGTGAAAATGCGCGCTCTCCAAAGTTCCTCTCGTAGCACGAAAGAAAAAGAAAAAAATTAATAATAAAAAAAAAGGTAGCAAAAGGACAGAGAGAGAGACTCGACGAAGGACGAGCTAGTCTAGGTGGAATCGACTGCGGAACGATCGAACGAGCACGATCGAGAAATCCTCCTTGCTGGTCGGCCAACAACCGATCGATCGGTCGATCGATCAGTCAGTGGCTCGATCGGATCGAGCTGATCTTGGGCGCGATTCTTCTCGGAACGATGTGCGCGGTATGTTTCCAGGTGAGGAGAGTACGGGAAGTTCCGGAGGGAAAGTGCGTCGTGCGACGCGGAACGACGCGCGTCGAGGTGGGCTAACTTAAACGTTCCTATGTAAAGTAATAATAAAGATTTAAAGCAGAGTTACTAAGAAAAGAAAAAGAGAAGCAGGAAGATACAAGCGGACGCTATTAGGCGCGGCGTATAGTAGGGTAGATGGTGCGCGGCGCGCGAAACTAAAAACGCCGCCATCGTTACGAATACGTACGTACATATTCATATATATATATATACATACATCTATATATATATACACATATACATATATATATATATATATAGATATCTGACTGTCTCTATCACTCTCTTTCTCATTTTGACGCGCCGTATGCACGTGGCTTTCCACTGACTTGGGTGAATGTGGATCTGCGTGCGTGCGGATATATATGCGTGCATGCGTGCGTGCGTGCGTGCATGTGTGTGTGTGTGTGTGTCGCGAATCGTTCTGCGGCTTCGATGGCGATGAAAAGGTAATAAAAAGAAAAGGAATGAAAGCTTTTTTCGATAAAGCGACGAAGAACGAAGAAAAATTCAAGAAGATACACATACACACGTACCATACTCTTTCTCAGCCACTTTCTCTACAATAAAACACACACACACACACACACGACAGGCGCGCACTGTACACACGTGTACAAACGGGCTTGACACGTACGTTTTTTTTACGTTCTTTATTTCCCATTTTGATAAAAAAAGAAAAATGTAGTAAGATGGCGGACGAAAGGGAAAACGACGGTATATGCGGCAGCGTAACAAACTCCCGGTGTGCCCGTCATCGATACGATTCGCATGCGCGAACGAGTAAGCAAGACCCAGAAACATGGTTCCTATATTTAATAAATTATATTTATTAACGCTAAACAAATGATTAGTAACAACGTTAATGATAATAATAAAATTAATAATAATAAGAGTAATAAAGTAATAATAATGAAACTAGTAATAATAATGATAGTAATAACGATAGGTATTTTAGAAAGCTGTCGGTAGCTATAACGATTATCGCTAAGCAACGCTCGATGATCGAATCGATTGATACACATCGACGCTCGGGGTGGGGAAGGGTATAATGGCAGGGGTAGCCCGACACCATTGAAGGGATAGAATTTTACTTCTGTGTACTCTGTCTCTCTCTCTCTCTCCCTCTTTTCCACAGTCTCGCGCGTATTATAAAACGTCTCTTGGAAATAAACACAAATTATATACACGCGCGCAGCGTAACGTAAGTGAACAAATACGGCTCTTTACAGGCTTTTTTTAATTATAAACACAGATAATGGACTAAATTTTCTACTGAGACAAATCAAGACACTTTAGCGTGTAATCTGAGATTTTTAAGTAGAATAAGGCAAATTTTAAATTAGAGACGGCGGTTGGGGACGGAAATTTCAAAAATCATCTCGCGCGAAAATATTTTAGACATACAAACGTCGTCCCGGATCCACAGGTTGGGGAAGAGGGAGGAGGGAGAGAATCGCGCCCTTTCGAATAGCAAGAAGGCGGGGAATGATGTAAAAAAATCGAGAACGACAAAGAATTCACTACTAGCTGTAAGTTACGGATAAATTACGATTAAATACTATAGGATGTAAGGGGAAAGGGGGGAGGGGGTGGGAGGGGG